AACAGCCCCCCTCAAACTATTTCCAGACTGAGTGCTCTGAACATATTTAACACCAAGGCCAACAGGAATTTCACCTAGTGCCAGGAACTCTGCTGCTACATCCCTTCCACAGCCACCTCATGAGCTCCTTGAACTGAAGGAACCCTCCAGAGGTTTCTCCTCTCCAGCTCCGACACTTGCACTGTTTGTTTTTACAAATAAGACAACTCTACAATGCCCCCAGAGAAAGACATTTTTAACTTACACGAAGAAGCAAGCAAGAATGGCTCAAATGACCAAGATTCAGAGCCAGAAGACGTGTCTAAGGATGAAATGAATGAATAAACTGTAATAGAATGAACTGAAAAAAAAATTCAAAAGGATGTTAATTAGGTACCTTCAGAAGATAGAAAGAAAGATTGAGGAAAGCAAGGACAATGCAATAAAACTGTAAGAAGAATTCAGGAAAAACTAGAAGAACAATCAGACAAAATAAATGCAAATTTTGAAATAATACAAAACCTTCCATTAGAAGCCCAGAAGGTTGATATTTAAGATCTCAGAAATGGACAAAGGGCAAAGGAATCGATGCAAAGCAGTGGAAGCCTGGATTCGTGAACCTGAAGAGAAATATCTCAATACTACTATGTTGGAAGAACAATCAGAAAGAAAAAAATGGAAAATATCCAAAGAGTGACTAAGAATTATGTGAGACACCATGAAGAGGAACAATTTACTGGTGATCAGAATTCTTGAACAGGAAGACAAGCACAGAGAAAAATTGTTGAAGAGTTGTTGGAAGAAAAGTTCCCTAACATCATGAGAGACAAGAAGATAAGCACACAAGAAGCTAAATTAACCACAAACAGGATAGATCTCAAAAGAAAATCACCAAGACATATCAAAATCAAACTCTGCAAAATCAAAGTCAAGGAAAGAATCCTGAAAGCAGCTGTGGAAAAACTCAAAGTTACCTACAAAGGAGAACCAATAAGACTAAACTCGGATTTCTCTGCAGAAACCTTAGAGTTGAGGAGACTGATGTTCATATATTTCATTAGTCCTTTGGACTTATTGATTCCAAGTATCTTCAATTCTCATCACTCTTCTTTTTACCTGCCCATGGAGAGACCAATAGTTGCACCTTAGATGGTTGAGCATGAGCTTTTAAAATCTCAAAACAGCATGTAAAGCATTGTCTTTGTGGACTATGTTATAACCATGGTGTCCCCTTAGAATATGGTCCTGACCCTCCAGGTCCAGCAGCTCATCACCTTAAGATTTTGGTAATATTTAAGATGCTTTCGTCATTTTGTCCACTGTATACTCTACCATTTTCATAGTTGTGTTCACAGCAAAGGTAAATACCCATGTACAAATATCCTCTTTTGAGCCCTTATATGTTTGTGGCTATATCCCCATTCTTCCTCCTATTCTGTTAAGCCAGTGTCGCCGTCCACTCATATACCCACAGAACACTTATTTTTCCAGTGTTGTATATATGACACCATTTACTTCTAGACCATTATCCCTTGCATTACTTCACAGGTCTTCACCAGTCTTCATCATTGTTCTGCCAATTTCCCTCTTCTTGTACACTGCCCTTCCCGTCACCTGAGGTAACATGTGTCTACCTTTCAGCCAAACTCTTGGTGTGGTGCTCTAGGATCAGCACTGGACTGCAAACCAGAGGTTGGCAGTTCAAACCCACCATCTGCTCCTCGGGAAACCCTATTCATGGTCGCTATGAGTCAGAACTAACTACATGGCATTTCACAACAACCGTTTAGCCAGTGAACTATCCTCCCTTCCTTCCCACCTCTTGTAACCATCAAAGGATATTTCTTTTAGCATGAAAACCTTTCTTGGGTTTTAACAATAGTGAGCTCATACAATATTTATCCTTTTGTGATTGACTAATTTCACTCAGCAGAACGTCCTCCAGGTTCATCCATGTGATGAGGTGTTTTGCAGATTCATCATTATTCAATGTTGTATAGTATTTTATTGTGTGTCTGTACCAAAGTTTGCTTACCCATTCTTCCACTGATGGGCATTTAGGCTGTCTCCATCTTTTTGCTATTGTGAACAATGCTGTGATGACCATGAGTGTGCATAGTTCTTATTGCTTGAGGATATATACCAAGTAGCTTTGTCATAGGGTATTTCTTTTTTAACTTTTTATTGTGAATCGAGTGAAAGTTTTCAGACAGGGTCATCAGTTTTACAGCAATAAATCACAAATTTCACACCAATTATTCAGTTACTAATAAGAAGTAATTGCCTAGAGAATGTTGTTGAAAATGGCTTTTACTTATAATTATTTTGGTTTCAAGTCAGTGATTTCTCAAAGGCTTTTATTTTTTCTCATTTCCTGACAACTCAGTATGGTGGTGGTGGTGGTTATGTGCCGTGGAGTTGGAACTGACTCATAGTGACCCTGTACAGGGTTTCCGAGGCTATAAATCTTTACGGGACCAGAAAGCCTAATTTTTCTCCCACAGAACAGCTGGTATTTTTGAACTGCTGACCTTGAGGTTCGCAGCCCGATTCATAACCACTACGCTACCGACTCAGTGTTCTAGGCACAAAGAAAGCACATAATTACCTCTAGATCTACCTCAGGGGTCATCTTCACTTCATCATTGATCACATTCAGCTTGTATCAGACCTATAGATTTTACCTCCAGCATCTTTTGAATTTCTTTGTAACATTTTCATTCCCATTGCCTTACTCCAGGGTTTTGTTTTAGACCAAGTTTACACTAGCACTAGATCCAAGCTATGGCATTTTCAATTGTTTCATATGCATGTTAAATAAGGAAGACTGTAGTAGAATTGATGCATGTGAATTATGGTAATAGAAAATACCATGGATTGTCAGATGAACAAACAAATTTGTGTTGGAAGAAGTACAACCAGAATTCTCCTTACAAGTCATGATTGTGAGCCTTTATCTCTCAGACTTTGGACATATTTTCATGAGGGACCAGTCTCTGGAGGACATGGTGCTTAGAGAAGTGGAGGGTCAGCAAAAAAGAGGACGATCCAACCAAGATGAGTGGCACAGTGGCAGCAGCAATGGCTTAAACTTAACAAGTCCTGTGCGGATAGTACAGGTCCAGGCAGTGTTTCTTTCTGGTGTTTGTAAGGTTGCTATGAGTCGGAATCAACTTCCTTTTTCTAACTATTGTATGTTGTTGTTGCTAAGTGCTGTAGACGCAGTTCCAATTCACAGCAACCCTGTATACGGTTTCCGAGGAGCACTGGTGAGTTTGAACCACCGACCTTGCAGTTTAAACCGACCTTGTGGTCCAGAACATTATCCCGCATCGTCACACCTGGACTCCAGTTATTGTATTGTTGTTGTTGTTAAGTGCCGTCAAGTCAATTCTGACCCATGGCAACCCTGTATAGGGTTTCCAAGGAGCAGCTGGTGAGCTTGAACTGCTGACCCTGCATTTCAAAGTGATTTTGCAGTTCAGTGCATTAACCCACAGCACCACCCTAGGACTCCTAATTATTGTATAGAGCACACAAATTTACAATTAAGGCCTCCGGTAGCACGACCAACCCTTGAGGTAATCAATACAAGTAGGAACAATAGCAATGAACACCTCCTTGAAAACAGCAGCCCTCCATGGTCACTGTATTAGTCTCCCGTTAAGTATATCTCTTCAAGCGCAGCTCATTTGATGAGCATGGCTCTCTAGTAGTTGCTGTCCATGTTCAGAGGCCTTGCTGCTACGTATCCTGTGATTACAAGGTCTATGCAGTCTAGTCTCCTTTGCCTTGACCCCAGGCTTTTTTTTTGGTTCACTGGTATCATGGACTATGTTTCTAAACCCTGTCCAGTTTTGTCTGAAGCCAAAAAAGTATTACAGGCAACTAGAGATATATAAAGAGTTCTTGAAATTGTTTTTGCATGGAGCTGAAAACTGATAGCCTCTCTTCAAATTACTTCACTTGACAAAGATGCTATAAGGAGAAATCTCACTGCCTAAGAATGGGATATCCATAATTACTCCACGATTTAAGTAGTTCTTGGGCTTGTTCTCCCTGTCTAAAATGAATACTATGTCAGATCCTAAGTTTATTTCCCACAAATGGGTGTGATGTCAGCTCCTAAATTTACCTGAGTACTACTGTTAGAGAAAACGTTCTGGCTTGTTGGAGAACGCCATATATAGTAAAAATGAAGACATACACAGCATGGTAATTTTAAACTATGTTCCGTTACTGTGGAACATCTAAAATGCATCCCCTTCCCAATCGACGATTTATTTTTTCATGGTATTTTACAATGTAAGTAAGTTTGGATTGGCCAAGTGGCAGCATCGATGGACTCAAGCATGGCAACAATAGTGAGGTTGGCCCAGGATCAGGCAGTGTTTTGTTCTGTTGTGCATAAGGTCGCTATGGGTCTGTACCGACTCGATGGCACCTAACAGCAACAAGAGTGGTTAAAAATGTGAAGTTCCTAGCTTAAGCTTAAGTGGCCTGCTAAACCAGACGGTTTAGCAGCGTTCTGAAACCATCCTAAGAATGCAGGCACTGACAGAAATTCAGTCCTCTGAGTACCAATTCAAGCTCAGGTGAGCTTTGAGACTTATACCTCGCTAGATCTTGCTTCCGCTTTATTAAATGGGGGCTGGATCTGAAAGGTTCAGCTGAGGATGCTCTCTGACTCCTTAATTTGAATCAATAGTCTAAGGAAGAGTGTTCAGCTCATCACCTTTTTTGAAAGGAAAAGGCAGAAGAGGTTCGGCCGCAGAGCCCACCTTGCTCACTTTCACTGGGAGGAACCGGTCCCAAGCGCCGGGCGTGGGCGGTGCCAGCGGAGTCTAGCCCTTTCCTCACCGCGCAGGCCCAGGCGCCGCAGAGAAACGCTCCGGCTCCACCCCGCTCCCAGCACTCTGGTTCCTGCGCCGCGCGGCAGGACGCGGTTGGCAGTGACACCGGAGGGGGGCGGGTCAGGAAGTGGGGGCGCGGCGGTCGGGAGCGGGTCTGGGGGCGGCCGAGGGTTCGGCGACGCGGAGGTAGTGAGACTCTGGGCCGCGCGGCAGCCGAAGGGGCGCCCCGGCCGCCGCGGAGACGATGGCGGAGGAAGAAGGTGACGGCCCTGGGGGTCCAGCGCGCTAACTGCCGTCCGTCAGTGACGGTCCCGAGAAAGAGGACCAGGGGCGCGAGGGGCCCGGAGGCCTGGGCTGGCGGAGGCCAGTGGCGGCGGCCGCGCGGGAGGCCGGAGGGGGCGGGGTGCCGGCAGGTGGATGCGTGCAGGGGGAGAGGGTTGCGGAGACTTTCAGCAGGCGCGGAGTGAACGCGGCTAGAAGTTTAGTTGGCCAAAGTGGGGAACAAAGGTGGAACTTAAAAGTTGGGATTCTGGCCGGCGGGGGAAAGCTGTGAGGGAATGGTGGTGAGGGAGACTTATGAGCAGATAATGGGAGAGGATGTAGAGTGGTTCAGAAGATGGAGATAGAGTTTTTCCAGGTATGGAGAGCTTTTTCGAATGTGACAGTTACTTAACCAAATGCCCCTCTTTCTGAGGGCCCTTTTTAACTCAAAAAAGGTTTGTGTCATGACAAACAAACACCTTGCCACAAGGTGAGAGGAAACGCTCCCGAAGGGTATAAAAAGAGGCAGGAATTTGGAGTACACATGGTAGAGTGAATTGGAAGGGAGAGACCTAGCAGAAATTGAAAACGGTCAAGTTCACTGATGAGTGAGGGGAAAATGACAAAAGGCAGGAGGATGTAAGTAGCAATTTGGTGAAATTAGGAAGCTGGGAAGGCTTTGAAGGTGCAGGTAGCTAAGGTGACAGACGCTTTCCATGCCCACTCCTTAGCATTTGGCTACTAACCGCAAGGTTGGAGATTCAAACCCACCAGCCCCTCTGCGGGAGAGAGATGGGGCTTTCTGCTCCAGTAAAGATTTACAGCCTCCGAAGTCCTAAGGAGCAATTTTAGCCTCTGTCTTAGGAGTTTGGATGGCATTGTTTTTACCCGTGCCCCTCTTGGCTGATGCCGGGAAGTTCATTTATTCAGCAGTATTTATCCATAGAAAATGACAGGTATGAGAGAAAAATGAGTTTAGAGGGGACTCCTGGTGTGGCGCTGTAGGATCAGCACTGGACTAAGGTCGGCAGTTCAAACCCACCAGCTGCTCCTGGGAAACCCTGTAAGTCGAAACTGACTAGACGGCACTTAACAATAACAGTGGTATAGCTAAGACTCCTGGTGTGGCGCTGTAGGATAAGCACCGGTTCGAACCCACCAGCCATACCTAGGAAACGTTCTACAGGCTCACTGAGTCAGAACCAAGTGGACGCTACAATAAAGTGGTATAGTTAGTGATGGTGTAGGAGAGACATGCGATATAATAGCTGCAAGATACCCTATTCGTTTCAGGTAGGTATGGTGACTTGACTGAGCAGTTAGATTGCATTCAGATGGAAAATGTGACTGTTTTCCCTGGTGAGTGGAGTTGTGGATGTGATAGTAGTTATATGTACTAGTACGTGCAGTCAGTTCCGACTCATAGCGATCCGAGGCTGCAAATCTTTACGGGAGCAGAAAGCCTCATCTTTCACCTGCGGAGCAGCTGGTAGTTTCGAACTGCTGACCTTGCGGTTCGCAGCCCGATTCGTAACCACTACGCTACCAGAGCGCCTTAGATTTTGTTTTTTCATTTTATGGCGTACTGGAAATTTTTGTCTATATGTTGATAAGTTAGTTGTGTGTTATACATGAGCACTTTCATGCTTCAAATATGAAAAAAATTAACAGTACTAAAAGACTTTAATATAATTTGTCATGCAAAATGAAAATGTATTTTAAGAAATTATAGCTCCTCCTAATTAGATAGCTAAGGAGCTCTGGTAGCATAGTGGTTACTAATCAGGCTGTTAATCTCATGGTCAGCAGTTTGAAACTGCTAGCTGTTCTGCGGGAGAAAGATGAGGCTTTCTGCTCCCATAAAGATTTACAGCCTCGGAAACCCTATACAGTGTCGCTTTGAGTTGGAACCAACTCCACGGCACATAACAACAACAACAATTAAATAGATATGATGTGGAACCACTTAAAAAGACCGTGATATTTAATAAGATTTACTTATGTGTTAAAGTTAAAAATGACATTTGATTGTTGAGTTACAGATAATTAAGAAATAACAATATCGTCACAAGATCAGCTGTTCAAACCCACCAGCTGCTTTTTGGAAACACTATAAAGGGTCACTGTGACTAGAAACCAACTCAATGGCTTGTAACAGCCAACAGAAATATAACTTATATGAAAGTTAGTGGATTGAAGTTTTATTAAAATGTACTTTCATTCAGCAACTCCTCATTCCATAGATATTTGTGTGCTTACTGTGTTTTTGTTGTTGTTAAGTCCTATCGACTCAGTTCTGACTCAGCGACCCTGTATAGGGTTTCTGAGGAGAGGTTGGTACTTATCCTATAGTAAGCCCCACAATTGTCAGCAATTTACTATAATAATGCTAGTGATTATAATATTTATAGCAAATATGTCTACGTGCCAGGCATTATTCCAAGTGGCTTACATTTATTTGGCACTCTATACGTTTTGTGTTCTAGTATGGTACTGTAAGATAAGTACTGGATGGCAAGGTAGGTTTTAACTGCAAGGTCGGTGGTTCAAACTCATCAGCTGCTCCTTAGAAACTCTATACAGGGTCACTATAAGTCAGAACCTACTTGATGGTATTTAACAACAACATACTTTTAAAAACACATATTACCTTGTATTTACTGTATTAAAATTAGACTAGTCTATACAGTAACTCTATGGAGCCCTGGTAGTGGAGTAGATTATAAGCTATACTGCTAACCACAGGGTCATCAGTTCAAATCTGCCAGTTGCTTTCTGGGAGAAAGATGAGGTTTTGTGCGCCTGTAAAGATTTACAGCACCCTATACAGGATCGCTGTGAGTTAGAACTGACTTGGTGGCAAACAAACACCAGCACCATACAGTATGTCTGGGAGCCCACTGGCTCTGTACAATAATGACTGGATTGTGAATCACAAGGTTGGTGGTTTGAGCCCACTATCCACTCTGTGGTAGAAAGATGAGGCTTTCAACTCTTGGAAAAGAAGCTTCAGAAATGCTTTACAGGGTTGCTATGAGTTGCAGTAAACTCAATAGCATTTAACAACAGTAACAACAACAATACTTGTATCCAGGTGTTGCTTTTCATTTACTTGAGTCCTCTTGTTTGTTCCAGTGTTTCTCTAAGTAAACACTTTTGAGTACACTGTACTTAAGGAGCTCTGGTAGCATAGTGGTTATCAGTAGGGCTGCCAACCTCAGGGTCAGCAGTTCAAAACTACGAGGGGTTCTGCGGGAAAAAGATGAGCTATTCTGCTCCCGTAAAGATTTACAGCCTCGTAAACCCTCTGCAGGGTCACTATGAGTGGGAACCGACTCCACAGTACTTAACAACAACAACAACAACAACTTTACTTGTATCCCGGTGTTGCTTTTCATTTACTTGAGTCCTCTTGTTTGTTCCTGCGTTTCTCTAAGTAAATACTTTGGGAATTTGATCTTCAAAAAAAATGTCTAACTTGATGTAACAGTGAATCAGAATGTTCACAATTATGTTGTTAAGCATCAAATCGGTTCTAACCCAGTGACCCTGTCTAGTGATTCCAAGGTTGTATATGTTTGCAGAAGCTTAAAGCTAGTAGGTTTGAACCACTGACCTGGTGATTTTCAGTCCAGTACTTATTTTACAATACCACACCAGGACTCCTTCATATTTATGCTTCCTGAAACAAATGTTAGTGAAAGGAGGGAAGTGACAGTTTTTAGTAGAACAGTAGTAACAGTTCACTTGAAAATTGTTATATAGTGTGGACATTTGGAAGCCTCTTTGTAGTCCTACTACTGTCATGCATTCATGATTTGTTGTTGTTGTTAAGTGCTGTCAAGTCAACTCCGACCCATAGCAACCCTCTATAGGGTTTCCGAGGACCTTGAACCAGCTTCAAGCTGGCGCATTAACCCACAGCCCCACACTGGGACACAGTTTGTGAAATAGGATGTTTATGTGAACATCGTATTATACACAGGCAGTCCCTGGATGATGAATGAGTTCCGCTCCTGAGTCTGTTTTAAAGTCAGATTTGTATGTAAGTTAGGTAAAAGTTTATCTCTAATGTCAGGTAGTTAACTGTTTATCTTAGTATATGGTATATAGGGTACTTTTCTATGAATGGAAACATTAAAGAAACACTTCCAAATACACAAAAACATCTTTACCATAAAAATAATAATACAGTAATAAAATAGTGTTTTGATGCACATAGCAAAGTCGCACCCATTTGTTATTATGAACCTCAAATTTTTAATCTGATAGGCTTTATGGAGGTTAGGACCACACGATGTATATGCAGTTGAATGCTGCTCAAATGGACATGTAATGTATAACTGCATTTCATATGAAGATCACTAGACAAGAGACTGAGACTTACCAGGTTATTTGTACAGGATGCATTATAATTTTTTTATATAAAGGAGTCTTTGGGTAGTGTTAATGGTTAAGTGCTTAGCTGCTGATTCTAAAGTTGGTGGTTTAAGTTCATCCAGAGGTACCTCAGAATAAAGACCTGGCAATCTACTTCTGAAAAATCAACTACCCAAACCCAATGGAACACAGTCTAATCTGACATATATGGGGCCCCATGAGTTGGAATCAACTAGATAGTTGTTGGCTTTTGTCTTTTTTTTTTTTTTTTTTGCCTCCTTTGCAATGCTTAAATCAGAGAGTAAAAAGGAAACTTGAATTCTATACCAGTGCTTTCTTCAAAGAACTAACAATCTAGTTTATCTGGCTGCTTTGGCCTTTGCTTCTTTTCTGCCTAGAGATGCTTGGCTTTGTCTTTAAATTTTGCAGTTGTTACATCAGTATAAGGGAAATGAGGTGAAATCTACATCCAGTTAGTTTTGTTTCTTGGTAACTGGCACAAAATTAGTTTTAAGGGCAAGACTGAAGAAATTGGCTAAAACAAATTCTGTATCTCCTCTGTTGTACTTTTTGCTCTCAGCCATTTAATACCACTGAAATTGACAAGTTTTTAAATCAATGCAAGCATTTCAAATGATAGTGTGTTTTTTCTTTTAATGTTAGCATTTCCCCTTGAAATACTGCTATTAGAGGGAACATAACAGTATAGATCTTTTATGAGTTATTTATTTGAATGGCCTTGGATCATACAGATTCATGAGAGATGACCATTATGATTTATATATTTCAAATATTTGGCAATCTATGTAAAAGTTTTAGTGTAATTGTACTTTAATAAATAAGACCCATTTATTTTCACAAAGAGAACATTTTAAAGTCCTTGTAATCATTTTGTAAAGAAATATTTTTAAAAAGATAATTGATTTTTTTTTTTATGATTTAGAGGGTTTTTTTTTCATGTTTTATTGTGAATTATATGATATTTTACATGAGAGAACTTTAGTTTTACATTCATTCCACCGTATATCGTTTCATTGCCATGGTTCCAATCCCCTCCATGCATCATCAACTGACCAAAGAGTATACCCTATAAACCCCCATCCTACTCGCGTCCCACCCACCCCCCACCCCCAAATTCTTCAGCACACAGTCCCTCTCCCTCTCTGGATCCAAAGTCCCCAGCCGCTTCATCACTCCACGTCAAAAAAATATATTGATACTTTTTAAAGAACACTTTATATCTGATTATGGCACTGTGGATTAATGCGTAGGACTGCAAGGTCAGTTTGAACTGCAAGGTTGGCGGTTCAAACCTACCAGCTACTCCTCAGGTCACTATGGGTCAGAATCAACTCTGTGGTACTTAACAACAACAGATCCCTTTCCAATAGAAAGGACATAGCCTGTTGGTCACATACATTTGTCAACTACTTTAGTTCATTTGATTTCTGAAATTATTCATAAATTTAAAGAAACCTGATACTGTTAGTGTGTTTCACCATATAAGTGTAAGTACTACAGACACTTTTTAACAGTTTACGTTTTCCTTTGTAAGTTTTTTAAATAAAATTCAAAATAATAACTTTCATTTGCAGTCTTCATTAAATATTCATGTTTTTGTTGACTCCTAACTATTATTTTAATCCAGTATAGGAGAAAACTTAAAGGATATCCTGAAGAAGGAGTATAGTTGTTGTTAAGTGCCGTCGAGTCGATTCTGACCCATAGTGACCCTGTATAGGGTTTCCAAGGAGCAGCTGTATTTATTAATTGACCCAGATATATATACAAAAATACTCAAAATTTGAGGTCTGATTTTTCTAATAGCAGTGTTATTTTCTAATGTATCCATCCACTGGCCTTCACATTGATGTTGTTAAAGCTCTGTCAAGTCGGTTCTGACTCCTAGTGACACTGTCTAGGGGTTCCGAGGCTGTAGACATTTGCATGACTGCAGAATAAGTGGGAGTACAGAAATGGGTAAAATAAAATTAGTCAGAATGAATCTTCTAAACATACATATTTTTTTCATACTATGCCAGTCTTTACAAAGATATTTTAGCAAACATGAATTTTCTGTGAAGCCACTTTACAATACATTTATTTCATTTGTTTTCCACAGCAAAGCTAGAGAAACATCTCAGTAGTTGTAGCTAGCAATAGCAGCTGTTATTCATTTGCCTTTTTTAACTCCTCTTTTTATGCTCATATTTCAGAGCCTAAAAAGTCAGTTGTGAAAGAGAGCATTCCTTCCTATAAAATGGAGGTATATTTTTGTGCCATGTTACAAATTTGTCAGGGACACCCTGTACCTATGCTATAATCATAGTATACCCTACAAAGATAACTAAATCAAGGAGCGAAAACTGTTGTATATAGTGAATTCATGTTTAATTTGGAGTATAGCCTACTGGTTTGGAAGTACCTTCTGCGTTACATTTTTTAATTGGAGTTAGAAGGAGCAAATAGTCAATTATTGGGAAATTTTTCTTAGTGCTTCTTACATATAGGGATCTTTATAGAGCCAGCTTATTTTCTAGTTGCTATATGTGTAAGATTGTACCATGATACCACTGTACTGTGAAATCCTGTAGAACTTTTAGGATTATAAAAAATAATTTTATGGTCAATGGATCTTGTTATATTTTAAGTTGAAAAGAAATTGATAATCCATGAATGATGCATATGATACTGTCAGCTTGTCTAGAATAATAAGGTATCTAAATTAATAACATTTTTCATCTAGTTATTATGGAAAAACATTCACTCATATTTTGAAAATAATAAGAGATCCCTGGCTTATCAATTAGGACTTCCAAGATGGGGAGTGTATATGTGTGTTAAAGTAATTATAGAAAAAAGTTATTTTGGGTACTAAGAATTCACAGTGTGACTTTTGCTTTAATATTAGTAAGTTAACAGTACAGGCTTTAGATTAGGATACTTTGATGCACGTGTTGCAATAACTGTTTCAAATATTTTCAGGACCAACTGTAGAACTGCGCCAAAGAAAAAAACCAAAGTCTTCAGAAAATACGGAATCTGCCAAAGAAGAGAAAATCAAAGACACTCCAGTTCCTGAAAGAGCTCCAAAATGTAAGTTAGGTAGAGTTGGTATTTTTATGCTACAACAAGGATAGCTATGCTAGGTAGGATGTTTTATAGTAATATTTTAGATTCATAAGCATATTTTGGAATCAAGAGTGAATAAGTATGTGTTGGTATCAAGCACCTTCCATATTGCTATATAATCCCCAAATTTCACTAGTTTACAATATGTACATCTGATTAATAAAAGAGTCCTGGTGTGGCATTGTAGGATCAGCAGAACTGCTAACCACAAAGTTGGTGGTACAAACCTACTAGCTGCTCCTTGGAAACGCTGTGAGTCAGAACTAACTTGATGGCACTTAAAACAACAGTTACGGAGCATGGTGGCTCTATATGATAAGCACTGAACTGCAAATCACAAGGTCTGTGGTTCAAGCCCGCCAGCTGCTCCTTGGGAACCGATAAGACTTTCTCCCCCCTCGCAGATTTTGTTGTTGTTGTCAGGTGCCATCAAGTCGGAACCGACTCATAGCGTTCCCATGCATAGCAGAACGAAACAATGTCCGATCCTGGGCCAACCTCACTGCTGCCGCCACACTTGGCGCCATCAATGATGCCACCTGGCCAATCCATCTCGTTGGGGGTCTTACTCTTTTTCTGTGACGCTCCACCTTACACAGCATGACATCCTTCTCTAGTGACTGTTCTCTCCAGACAATGTGTCCAAAGTATGAGAGACAAAGCTTAGCCATCTTGGCCTCCAAGGAGCACTCTGGTTGCACTTCTTCCAAAACAGATCTGTTGGTTCTTTTGGCAGTCCATGGCACTTTCAGTATTCTCCTCCAACACCACAACTCAAAGGCATCAATTCTTCTACGATCTTCCTTATTCACTGTCCAGCTCTCGCATCCGTATGATGTAAAACCTTGAAAATCCTATACAGGGTTGCTATGAGTTGGAACCGACTTGACACTTAACAATATTACGTATGTGGCTACAAGTCTGCTGCTGTGGCTTCATGTGTCTTGTCATTCTAGAATCCAGGTTGAAGGAACAGCTTCTTTGGGACATGTTTTCCTTGAGGCAGAGGAGATGAGCAGGAAGGCAGACAGAATCATACAGTGTCTCTTGAAGTACCCGCTATATCTGCACACTGTCACTTGTGCTTACACATTCTATTGGTCCAGGCAAGGTATATAATTAAAAATAACATTGGAATGGACAAGCATACCCTGCCTACAGAGTAGTATTTCAAGTCACATGACAGGAGGAAGTAGTTGGGAACGATAATGCAGTCTACCACACCCTGTGCTTTTGGTCCTAAATGTTGACTTCCCTGCCTTAGACAAAGTATACTCACACCCTCCCCCACCCCAAGGAAGCCAGTCTTATCCAGTCATGGCATCAGACTTGAAGCCCAAGGCCTTCTAATCTACATCAGGTTTTGGTATGATTCCTTGTTATCCAGAGATCTACAAACTAAAAACAGCTTTGTGTCAGGACTCCCCAAGACATAAGGTTCAGTGATTCACCAGGAGCACTCACAGGATTTAGTCATTCTTAAAGCAATGATTTATTATAAAGAAAGAATACAAAACAAAATCAGCAAAGAAAAAAGACTCATGGGGTAAAGACTAGAAGAAACCACATACAGTATTCCAAGAGTTCTCTCCAGTGGAGTCATCATATAGAATATTCATAATTCTTTCAACATCAAAATTTGACATGTTTAAAATTTTGTTTATATCAGTAAACTTGTAGCGTCTTTGCCCAGGGTTTTTATTGGGAGATGGTCATGTATGTTGTTGTTGTTGTGAAGTGCTGTCGAGTTGGTTCTGATCCATAGCAACCCTATATAGAGTTTTTGAGGAGCACCTGGTGAGCTTGAATCACCGACCTTGCAGCTCAAATGGCTTTGCAGTCTGGCGCATTAACTCACAGCGCCACACCAGGACTCCTGGTCATGTAGGTACTAACGGCCAATTACATAGACTCCCAGAAGAAAGCAAGTGTTCCACATAAATCACAGTCAAATTCGATGGGACGGTAATGGATTTTCACAGGTTCGGCAAAGGAAACCACCCTTACCAGAGAATGGTAGCAATCTCTTGAAATCCACTCCCAAACACCAGTCAAAAGGCAGCTTTGCAATTGGAGCTTTCTAAAGATAGCAGTTTCAGGCATCCATTCAGAAAGATGAAGAGTGTAAGACACATATCAACCAGTGGTCCATAGCAATTCTGAAATCCTGTCAGTTAAATATAAGATCTCCTGGTTTGGCGCTGTGCGCTAATGCGTCAGACTGCAAACTCGTTTGAACTGTAAGGTAGGAGGTTCAAGCTCACCAGCTGCTCCTTGGAACCTCTAGACAGGATCACTATGGGTTGGAATCGAACCCTGAAGTAGGGGATGTTTCTTGATTAGGTCCCAGTTGTGCTCATTAGATATCACTCTCTAGTTTATTGTTCTCCGTGGTCCTCAGCTCTACTCTTGGGAAATCTATTCTTTTCCATTATCCTCCTGACTCACATTTGAAGAATATTTTGCAGATTATACCCTCCTAAGGGGCTGAATGAGTTTCTTAGATTGTATCTTGTAAAGTTGAAGGAAAGTTGAGGGCCCAAAAGCTGTTTTCTGGCTCAAATAACCATGATTCCTTTTGATCCAGACTGAGACTACTCTTTTAGCAATACAGTGTTCTCAAAAACATTGTCACCTTTTTATTGACATGATTCTAATAAGCATCCTTTGCCAGTAGACATGCCTATAATTCTTTTACATATACTCCAAAAACTTAATTAAGACCTGGATTGGCCTTCAAACCACAAGGTCAGCATTTTGAATTCACCAGACACTCAGGGGAAAGATGTAGCTTTCTGCTCCCGCAAAGATTTATAGCCTTAGGAAATCCTATATAGGGTAGTTTTAAGTTAGAACACACTCAACGGCACTTAACAATAAAACAAGCTTATCATAAGGAGCCCTGGTGGTCCAGTGGTTAAACACTCAGCTGCTAATCAGAAGGTCAGCTATTCGAACTCACCAGCCTCTCTGTGGGAAAAAGATGGGGCAGTCAACTTCTATGAAGATTGCAGCATTGGAAACCTTTTATGGAATATCCTGGTAGCATAGTGAATTACGAGCTGGACTGCTAAAACCACAAGGTCTGTAGTTCAAATCTACCAGTCACTCTGTAGAGAAAGAGGAGGCGTTTTGTTCTTGTAAAGATTTCAGCCTCAGAAACCCTGCATAGGGTCACTGTGCGAATATACTTAGTGGCACATAACACCACAATCTTACACTGTCTTGTAGGGGTAATGGTGAGTTGAATTAACTTGACAGTAATAGGTTTGGATTTTTTTTGTTAGATTTGTGTGGGACTGCACTCTTACTCTCCTTTTGCTAAGCCATTGTATTTAATTGAAGGAATTTCTGGGATTTAGGTGCTGTAGAGTTGGCTCCTACTCGTAGCAACTCTACAGAACAGATCAAAATACTGCGTGGTCCTTGAGCTCACTACTGCTGCTACTGTGCCAACACATCTCACTGGGGGTCTTCCTCTTTTTCACTGACCCTCTACTTTACTAAGCATTATGTCCTTCTCCAGGGACTGATATCTCCGGACAATGTTTCCGAAGGATGAGAGATGAAGTCTTGCCGTCCTGGATTTTAAGGAGCATTCTGACTGTACTTCATCCAACACAGAATTGTTTGTTCTTCTGTCTGTGCTAGTTTTAGTATTCTTTTCCAATACCATAACTCAAATACATCAGATATCCTACAGTCTTCCTTAGTTATTGTCCAACTTTCACATGCGTATGAGGCTATTAAAAATACCATGACTTGGGGCAGGTGAACCTTAGTCCTCAAACTGACATCTTTGCTCTTGAACACTCTAAAGAAGTCTTGTGCAGCAGATTTGCTTGATGCAATGCGTGTTTGCTTTCTTGCTCCTGCTTTCACAAGTGTTGATTGTAGACCCAAGCCAACTGAAGTGTTTGACAACTTCAATCTTTTCTCCACTTACCATGATGTTATTTATTGGTTCAGTTGTGAAGATTTTTGTTTTCTTTACATTGAGATGTAATCCATACTGAAGGCTATGGTCTTTTATCACTAAGTATTTTAAGTTCTTTTCACTTGCAGCAAGCAAGGTTATAACCACATATCACAGTTTGTTCATGAGTCCAATCCTAATGCCATGCTTATCTTCATATAATCCAGCTTCTTGGATTATTTACGCAGCGTACATATTCAATAAATATGCCCTGGCGTGCATACCTTTACTGATTTTAACCCATTCAGTATCCCCTTGTTTTGTTTGAACAACTGCCTCTTGGTTTATGTACAGGTTCCTCATGAGCACAATCAAGTGTTCTGGTATTCCTATGATTTGTAATATTATCCACAGTTTGTCATGATCCACACAGTCAGAAGCTTTTGCACAGTCAACAAAGCACAGGTAAATGATCTTTCTGGTATTCTCTGCATTCGGGCATAGTCCATCTGACGTCAGCAAGGATATATCCCTATTTCCACATCCTTTTCTGAATCTAGCTTCAGTTTCTGGCAGTTTCTTTTTTATTTTATATATTTTTTAAGTTTTCATTGTGAATTATTTCATAGTTTACATGGGAGAACACCAGCTTTACATTCATCCTATCGTATGTTGTTTCATTGCAATGATTACAATCCCTTCCATGCATCATGAGACAACCAAAGAGTACACCTTGCAAGTCTGCCCCTTGGTTGTCAGCACACAGTCCCTTTCCCTTCCTAAATCCAGAGTCCCCAGCTGTTCCATCTCTCCACGTCATCGTCTCTGCCTCCATTTATCACGTCGCTGCTTCTCTGGGTAGGATCCCTTCTCCATGTATAATTGCCTTTAATGGTGTTTTAAAAGGTATTTGCAATTAGTAAGTCATTGTCTTGAAAAATTCTATCATGGGATTTCCAACATCATTTCTGTCACAAAGGCTGTATTTTCCAACTACTGATCCTTTATGTTTCCAACCTTGGTATTCTAGATACCAGTAATTATCAAT